AGTGACGGCAACGCCGAGCCCGTACTCAGGGGAACTGGCTCCTCTGACGTAGACGTCCACTTCGGATCGCCATTCATTCGCATCCGACGGCCGCAACTCGTTCTTTGTTGTTCGGTCCATAATCGCGCTCGGTTCAGCCCACCTGGAGACGAAAACGAGGGGAAGAAACAGCGTTGATTTGTTTGCCATCGCCGCCGGCCGCTCGTCCGCGCGCCATGGTCACCGGCTGCTTGTCGCCTCCATGTCCCTTGCTCCCACGTCCTCCGAGCCTTCTGCCCTCAGCATCGTCGTCGTCGCCGCCTCCTCGTCTACTTTCGACGCTGCTAAGCCGTCCGGTTCGGTTCATGCAGTCATCACCTAAACGATCGACGGGCACCGCCGCTCCGGCTGCCTCGACTTTGTCCTCCACCTCATCACATCCATGCCCATGGCCCCCCGATAAATACACATGCAACACCGTGCTTAAGGGTTTGTGCATCGCCAAGCAGTGGGAGAAGGCCCAGGAGCTCAAGGCCGCTCTGCCTCGACCTCCAACTCTCCAAGTCGGAGGCAGCAGAGCTCCCGCGAGGGAAGGACGCAGGGACAAGGGATGGGCAGGAGCTGAGGAGGGCGGCGACAGAGGGGGCTGCCTCCAGTACCTGCTCCACCTGTGCCCGCACCACGGGAGGCGACAAGCAGCCGACGACCATGGCGGACAAGCGGCGGCGATGTCAAAATGAACCAGTGCTGTTTTTTCCCCTCAGTTTCCTCTGCAACTGGCAAAACCGAGCGCGATGAACATGATGTGGTTTTTTGAGGACCATCGACTCCGTATGCGCTTCACCAGCGAGAGATCACGCGATAGCGGCGGACGGCGGTGATGGCGGCCGGAGATCCCGACTGCTGAGTGCCGCCAATCCCTCATGCAAGTGAGCCGGACATCGAGCCACAAAGAATTATGGGCCTGCGGCTGGGGATGGAGTGGAAGAGTTGCTGTCCGTCTGATGCACAAAGGATGACGATTCAGGACCGGACGTCCCCCTGACGTAGAATTATGATCTGGTTCCGTGCTCACTGCTCAGGGCAGCTGCCCGACGTCCCACTCCACCCTTGCTCCCCTCATCCGCTGGCTTTGCCCACCGGCAATCCGCTAGCCACTGGCGTCTGCTCTGGGTCATGCTCGTAGCTTGTGGTCACTCATCCTCGCTAGGCTGCTTGCGTACGTCCATAGCAACAACCCAATCAAGCAGAAGGCGGGGAAAATAGGTAGAGCAGTAACAAGAAAATGAGTTGGACGGGGAAATCTGAAGATTGAAAAAGTAGATAAAACGTTGGCAGAAACCTGCTTTTTGTATGCAATATTAGCTTAGGCTGATGTGGATATTTTTGCAGCCACTAGCTAGCTGCACTATTGACCATGCTCTTAACTCCTTACTCCTTCCGGTTTATTTTAATTGACGTTTTAAACAATAACATGATCTACAAGATATATCTTTAACCTTATTTTTCTATTATAATATATATATATATATATATATATAATAAATAAATATATGTTTACTTTTATTATAGTGCTTTAAAAGACAAATCTATATATGTTGTTCTAGTTCCTTCAAACTAAATATTTTTGAAGTTATTAATGGTCAAAGTTATAAAAGTTTGACCTTAACTTTGTCCAAAACGTCAATTAATATAGAACCAGAGAGAGTACACTAGTAAGGGTATTTTTACAATCTAACGTAAAATCACTTATATTCAGGACGGAGAGATAGAATTATATTTAGGATGGAGAGATAAAGTAGCATATTTGTATTGATTTGCAATTAAAAGTATTATTATAAAAATAAATAGTTTACCAAACATTTAATGCCAACTCTTCTCTCGATTTAAGAAAATGGTGACTGCAGTTTGTATACATGTATTCTTTTATACATGTGTATACATAAAATTTGTACATATGTTTGTATGTATATACTTTATATAAAGTTATACATATGCGTTACTACTGGAGAAACCATCTTTGTCCGATCGGCTAAAACCATAATAGTCCCGGTTTGAATAGAAACCGGGACTAAAAATGATTTTTTTCCCGGTTTATAAGAGCAACGGGGACTATGTGATCTACCAACCGGGGCTAAAGATCGATCTTTAGTCCTGAATTCATAGTCTCGATTTGTTACCCAGGACTGTATATAGGGGGTTGCAAACCGGGACTATAAACGGCTTGTGCAGCAGTGTGTATAAAGTACTTCCTCTGTTTCATAATGTAAGTATGTTAATGAATCTAGAATATATATCTATATAGATTCATTTAATGAATATGAATATGAGAAATGCTAAAATAACTTACATTATGAAACGGATGAAGTATATACATACGCATATATGAGCAGGGAACAGAGAGGGCGCATCGTGCGTGGGGATCGAGCGGCGTGCACCCAAGGCGCCGATTAGCGCCCCCCATTGTTGCACCTGTTCCGCTCTCCCTGACCGAGGAGTCCAAAGGGGAAGGTCAGAAGGTGCTGCGGAATTATCTGGAACCCTCTGGTCGGTGGTTTGATTGGCACTTTTTTTTCTTTTTACAAGCTCACTCTTTTTCATCAGACGATTAAGTTTCATTCAACCTTTTATCCAGCGATGTATCCCACATTTTAAATATGAATGGTCCAATTTATGGTACCATAAATATACAAAGATAATATATACTAGAAATAAATAATTGATCAAAAGTGTATCACGGTATATTAGTAAGCAACTTGCTATCTGTCACTTGTCTCAAAAAATGTATATCCTCTCTTTAAATGTTTTTTCTTTTTCTTTTACATATATGCACGTATTTTTGGATGTCCCGGGACCACCCAACAGAAACGCCTATACTATTATCAGCTTCTGAATCCTACGGCAATTATCGTATGATGTTAGTTATGTTGGTCGCATATTGAAATTCACTTTTCACTAATGTAGATATATCAGTACATGCTTTATGTCCTTATTACTCCCTCTACCAAAAATACTTCCTCTATCCCAAGATTATCGATTCCTCACATACGAAGAACAGTATAATAATTGGGAGAGAACCAAAGTGTTTCTACTTAATATGAAAATAGTATTTGGTTGGTAGTTAACTAAGATGTATTAAACGATAAAACATATCGATTTATGAAACAGTGGTAATTAGTAAGATGCTAGAAATCAACTTATATTTGGACAAATTTTGCACTTCAGAAATCAGCTTATTTTTTGATGGAGGGAGTACATTCACTACAACAGAAAAGCACTTCGGTGCCGGTTGAAAACCCCCTTAGATGCTTGTTTTCCCAACCGGCACCCCACAGGCGGCACAGATGACTCCAGTCATTGGTGCTGGTTGTAGAACCGACACCTATTACACATATAGGTGCTGGATGAGAACCCCGCAGCCGGCACCTAAGAAGTTCCACGAGCTAAAAAATAATATGGCTCGATTCATCGAGCAGCTTCCCATCACCCAAATCCAAGAACACATTCATCATCATCCCATGTACCAAGAATCAAGAACAAATTTCTCACAATCCCATCACCATCCATCCCAAATCCAAGAACACATTCATCATCATCCATGTACCAAGAATCAGGAACAATTTTCTCACAATATCATCACCATGCATCCAACAAGAGACCGAAATTACAAAATCAAAAATCAACCAGGAAGAGAACGAGTACACCGTGGTGAATCCTCCCGCAAATGCTCTGACCGTCATCAAGCTGCCCGCCGCAGAGGATAGGCCACTCACCTCACCATCATCGTCAAGCACGCTAGCCGGACCTGGCCGTCTGCCACCCACTGCGCCCCTCCTTGGTGAGCCTGCCCTTCGCATCGTTGGGTGAGTTCGACCATCGCATCACCAGGAGAGGCCGTCCACTGCACCGTCCGTCACGCCGTCGTGGAGGGCTCACGCCAAGCCCACACCGTGGGGAGGCTACCCGAAGCTCCATCACCATGGGAGGCTGCCTGCCATGCCACTGTGAAGAGGAGTGGCGCCGCGATCCGGCCGGTCTCCCCCGGTGGGAAGGACGCCGCCGCCGGCGCTTGCGGGTGTGGAGCTAGCGTGCTCGACGATAAGGATAGGACGATGTCCTCGCAGTCCTCGCAAGGGGATAAGGACAGGTGCGAGTGGATAAGATGCGGTCGGCTTGGCCCGATTATTTCAGGTAAAAACCAGCATCTTTTTCTGACACCAGTAATAGGTGCCGGTTCTTTTTAAAAACCGGCACCTATTTGAGGATAAAGGTGCCGATTCTTTGGATTTTACGGCGTGGACGGACGCGTGGGTGGGCACGTGGGTGGGAAAGGAACTATAGTTGCCGGTTTTACCTACTCCGGCACTTATAGTGTTGACATCTATTTGATGTTATATAGTAGTGATTTTACACTATCATGGTCCCTTCAAGATGCAACTAAACGAAATTTTATATTGCAATAAGTCGAAAAAAATGTGGAAGTACTATTCGATACAATTAAATCTATGCATACCATTTTTGATATATTTTTATTGATTTCACTTTGACTCTTAAGTATTTTAAAAATAGTTGACGGTTAAAAGTTCTGAAAATTTGATCGGGTGTTATCCGAAACATCAAGTATTTACGATCAGAGGAAAATACATAGAATACAAAAGAAAACACTACCCAATTCAAGCTGGAGAACTGCAATTGAAACAATTCTGGTGCCTTTTAGAATTGACATGGAATCGTTGATTCCAGTTCCATGTGGCAGCTAGCTAGCTGCATCGGTGCAGCCAAACAACTTCATCATACATCCATTAATTTTGGATGCCGGAGTAAAACAACTAACACCAACATGACTAAAATTTTCTTGTCTCTTATAACGTTAATTATTTAGTTTTTCTTCAGCTGGATTCACTGACATATGCACATGGTTTCTTGTCACGTCACAAAGTATAATTCACGTGGTGGAATTCCTATTCCTAGTTCTGTTTAGTTCCTTAATTGCCATAGTTACATATAGCTTAATAGGCATATAGCAGATCAAAGGCGATAGTGAGAGGGGGATTGCTTTTCTTTTGTAGATTGGTACATAAAACTATTACATTATTATATAGGTGATATCTTTAGTACTGTTTATATAGTATTGATAACCGTTTCTTCCACCATTGCACATTTCCCTATTTACAAGTTAGGTTCCGTCTCCTGTAGCTAATCATCACTGTCCCCTTTGGCTCTGGCGTCACCATTCTCCAGCTTGTCTCAGGGAAAGGAGATACCATCTTGAGCTCAAAGTTCCTCAGCAAATGGCTCCATATCACCTTTATCTGTGTGTACGCGAAGGACTCACCTGCGCATGAATGCCTCCCGGCGCCAAAGGCCAGGAAGGAGAAGGGGCCAGCGGCCTTGTCTTCCCCCCTACCGCGTGCAAACCGTGAAGGGTCAAACACATGAGGGTCCTTGTAGACATTGGGCATGTGGTGGTTCACCAAGATCGTGCTCATCACCGTGTGCCCTCCTGGGATCGTGTACTCTTTACCTTCCTTTGTCTGCACGGTGAAGTGCTTGCGGGCTTGACGGAACATTGCCACTGCCGGTGGGTGCAGTCGGAGCGCCTCCTTGATGCAGCGGTGCAGAGTGGTCATCTCCTGCACGGTATCATAGTTGACGCGATCATGGTCATCGTCGGTTCTAGCGCGCGACGCCATCAGCCGGTCCTGCTCGGCGATGACGGCGACAAGGTGGTTTGGGTGGGAGAGCAGGTTGATGCCGGTCCAGGTGCTCACGCTGGAGCTCGAGTGTTTCCCCGCGAACACAAGCGCCACGAGTAGACCGACGACCTCCACATCCGTCAAGTCACGCTCGTCCTTGTACCTGCCGTCAATGAGGCGTTGCAGCACGTCGTCGCCGTTGTCGGCAGTGCCAGAGTTCCTGCGTGACCTAATCACCTCGGTGAATATCTCCCCGAGCCTTTGGCGCGCCCTGTCACGACGGCGGTGTGCCGGGGTTGGGAGGTAGGGGAGCATGGTGCTGATGAGGTGCAAGCCGTTGTCAAGATCACGGAAGAGCTCGTATACTTCGTCCACCATGCTCTCCCGCACCTCCCTTCCCAGCAGGCACCGACTCGCGATCAACATCAGTACCTGCTCCAACTCTTTCTTCAGATCAACCGTCCCTTGCTCTCCCCATCTCGAGAAGTAGTTCTACATTAGAAAACAGTCATCGAAAGATTAAAGAGAAGGAAATAATATAACATTTATACTAATAAAAAAAAGGAGTTGGATTCTTTGATACTTTCTTTGGTTCTATAATCCTTAATGTTTTGGACGTTGACACGGAGTTCAAAATATATCTTTGACTATGTGTTTCTAGTATAATTTATGCAATAAATCAATATTTTTTTTTTACTTTTAGTACAGTAATAAATCTATATATGTTGTTCTAGTGTCTTTAAACTAATTAGTTCAAAAGTTATTGATAGTCAACGTTATAAAAGTTTGACTTAAACCTTTCTCAAAACATCAAGAATTATGAAAGATGGTAAATCATTGTTGGATTTGCAACAGTAGAAAAGGAGGAAGATGGCAAATCATTGATGCTCCTGCTGCCCAAAGATATATCAAAATGCTGCTTAGTAAATGTTTTATCTCAAGCTGATTTTCCTTTGGAAGTGAGTTTCTTATGCCCCCTCCATTTACTTCGAATCATATCGCGCACACCTTCCTGATATTAGCCTATTTGTTATGCTCTTACTTCAATTTTCACTTTGTTTTGTAGCTGACATATGATTATTGGACTGGACACAGTTCATGCGTGCTCCCACCTTAAGTTTCAGGTTATTTCAAAGGTAGTTTTTTTTCTTTCACATATACATGTTCAGGGTGCTTTACTTACAACATGTTAATGCGACTCCTGTACTACCTTTTCACTTTACTTCACTTCTAAATAATAAAAAATGTTGATCTTGAAGCATTTTTAAATAGCTAAAGTGGGAGCTATATATATATATAGGATTACTTTTGTTCCATGGTCTTGGAGCAAGAAAAACAAGGTCTTGTTGTCAATTTAGGTAGTGCAGGTTTCCTTCTCCTTTACTAATATTGCTTGATGCATATTATTTCCTATGATTGTAATAATTTACATAATCCATTATTGCATATGTTTTATTCATAGGGATTTATTTTGCATGTCTGTATCATATTGTATTTACTTATTTAATGTCCCTCAACATAGATACCATGCTATTTGATGTATTCAAACTATGGACAATAAGAAGCAACGATATCGTGCTATTTAATTTATTCAAAGCTGAATTTGTTAGGATGGCGTATACAACCACACAAAAAAAATTGAAGTATATATAATCTATGTGTTTCTCCCATTTCAAGGGCCTACAAATGCTAAGATATGCTTCATTTATTTGGGTGTGGTTCGTATAATGGCAATATGCATGAGAGTAGATGCAAGTTTATCTTGATGAAGTGCTAAGAGAATAACATGTACCCATAACATTGGTTATTTTTATTTTTACAGTTACTTTGGAATATGCGTTTTATAAATTTTGGTTAAACAGATTGTTTTTGGTAGATAATAATTTTCAAATTTTCAATGCACTCCTATATGATTACTAGTAATAAAAAATATGCCCATTTTACGTTGGTAATAGTACCTCCACCACATAATATAAGATGCGGTCAAACTCAATATGGTCTCAAAAACTAATCATTGGCTTTTAATTTCTCATATGTACTGTAAGGTAAGGTTTGTACTAACAAAATTATAACCATATGAAAATAAATTTGAATGTCAATCCAATTAATAACATAATTATCAGAAAAAAATTTAATTCATATTAAAATGTTTTCAAGGTTAAATTTAAAATGCGTAAGCGTGTATGGTATGAAGCGGAGAACATGTTTCTTTTTTTTTTTTTGCGCTCTGAACTCTCATATATCCTGTAAAGGAAAAATGAACCGTTCTAAAACAAATGGCCTCATTTTTTCGCTTATGCTTATATTTATCAGCCAAAATTTTAATTTTCAACCTTAAATTTGAATATGATTTTGGGGGTTTTTTCATCGAAGTTTATTTTTTAGCCTTTGCTTTTAGATAACTAAGAACAGAACGTATATATAAAAGTTTCATGAACAAATTACCTTTTTATTTTTTTTTAAATATGTTGTTTGGCTTATTCCACCAATAAACCAAACGATGGGGCTGAAAGTCTCTGTTAAACTTACAAAACAAAGTTGAGGTACATGGCAATTGACTTAATTTGGAGTCACACGATGGCTAATTAGTTGAATGTAAAAAGTAAGTAAACAACCGCAAGGGATCGGATATGCAGAGATGAATATACCTGGACCTCCTCAGCCATGGCGCCTACCCTGGCCTCGATGCTCCGTGGCTTGAGGACGTCCCAGAAGAGGCGCATCTGCTCAGCACGAGTGTCCGGGTCGACGGCGTAGCCAACCTCGGGCCCAAACAAAGGCACGGTGAACCTGTAGATGCTACCCTGCCCCATCTCCGACTCCGGCGCCAGGTAGAAGTGGCTCGACACCTCCGGCCCGATCAGGAAGGTCACCTTGAAGAGGCCAAACGGGGCGATCGCCGTGAACACGCTCCCCAGCTTCGCCTGCTGCTCGCGGATCGCCTCCAGCGGCCCGTCCCTCGCCATGGCGCGCGCGAACCGTACGAGACCGGCTCCCCGCACAACCGGCGGCGCCGCCGCGGCCGGGCTGCTGATCTTTCTCTTCTGCAACGCGGTCAGTATGACCGCGGTGGTCAGCAGGAGAGCTACGGTGGCGGCGACCCACGACATGGCGCCTCTGGCGATTGTGCTACTTGTTACATGATCCATGCTTGTTGCCAGTCCACTTGAGTGACCAGAGTTTAATTAGCCTTGTGCACAAACGAGGAGATGAATTAATTTGTGATGTAATTTAAAGGGGGAGGGTGTGCTTTGTGTTGCATAGGATGGATAAAGGATAGACATTAATACACACATATATATGTGTGTGTTGTATATATATGTGTGTGTGAGAGAGAGAGAGAGAGATAGAGTAACGAAATGAGCTTACCTTGAACAGGAAGGCTTTCGATCATGACCAGAGGAAGTGCGAACTCACTTAAAAATGTGATAGGAGAGATACATTTATATAGAGAATGAGATTTTGGAAGAGGCCAACAGGCTAGAAAAGTAGCAGGAGTATGTATGCACGTGTACTCAGATGCATTAATTGGAGTTTAATACTATACGATCAATCTCAAATGATAATAATAATAATCTTAGAAAAATCTGTAACTTCGACCTGGCAACAATTAAAACTCGCATATCTTCCGTCATTGTCGTGTGCCATGTTCAGATAGATGAGTTTAACTAATATGATTTTTAGGATTAATGAGTCGAGACCCCTGCCACCTCTACACACATGGCCTTAAACACTAGCTTCATAGGAGTAGTTTTTACCATAGCTTCGTATTTTTTACTTAAAAAAAATAATCAGATCATTTTTACACTAGCCTGTATATTATAATTACACAAAAGATTCCACTAAAAATTATACTGTAATTACATTGTAAGTTTCAATATTTGTATTGTAACTTATATAACACAGAATGATATATAAGATAATTTGGATTAAAAGTAATTTTTTACTTACTGAAAAGAGTAGATAGGTAAGATATAACTATACTTATATATACGAGAGAGAGAGAGAGCAATCACACACACAGATATATTATGTTCATTGCTTCGCCCCACCAACTCCAGTTAGTTAGTGTCAATAGCTAAAAATAATGATGATGTGAGTGATTTCTTTGGTCTCTTCTTCTTAACATGGCAGCGGGAGCTTCTTGCAAAGAGAGACATGATACGAGAAAGTCAAGAAGAGAAACTAAAGAAAGCAATAGGCAGTGGGCAGAAAGATTTGTACTGGAACAGGACTAAACCAAGAGCAAACACTTCAAAGACCTGGAGACACTCGGTGGTGTTCCCATTATAAGACTCTTAAGGGTCTAAATAGGTTGTTTTCAATCTCATTTGTTATGGATGTGCTGAAATATGTGGAGAAGCAGGGCCCGTATATTGGCAAAAGACGTCAAGCCCGTGGGCTCATGGATTATCTTCAAGATTTTGATTTTGTGTTTCATTTGCACTTGATGTTGATGATCCTGGGGTATGCAAATGCTCTGTCACTTTGTTTACAAAGGAAAGATGGAGGTATATTGGAGGCCATGCTAGAGGTGAAATCAACTAAGGAAAAATTTCAGGCGATTAGAGATGATGGCTGGGAATCTTTATTGGAGAAAATGTATTCATTTTATGATGAGCATGGAATTCTTAGGCTAGATATGGAAGAGGAGTATATTGACCGTCATAAACCAAGGAAAAAGATAAATCACACTAATTACCAACAGTATAGATGGGACTGTTTGAACCCTGTTGTGGACTTGCTACTTATTGAGTTTAATGATCGCTTTACTGAAACAAATTCTAATTTGCTTACTTATATGGCTGCTTTCAATCCTAAGGATTCTTTTGCTGATTTCAAAATGAATAGCCTCATGCATGGAACTTGCTAAGCTTTATCCTGATGATTTTAGTTCAGTTCAATTGAAGGATCTTGCCCATGAACTTCAGTTATACATTGACAATGTACAATCCGATGAAAGATTTTCGAACTTGAAGACCATTACTGAACTTGCAAAATTGATTTTTTTAGAAGGGTATTTTTTACCCTGCCTCTATATCCAACCAGATATATACAGCATTTACAAATTAGGAACTTAGCCTATCAAACATGGAATTTAGTCCTCAAATAACCCAATCTAAATTTTGCTCCTATGGAGATTTGTACTCAGGACCTCGGGGTGCTACTCAGGTCACTGCAATCACTAGGCTACATGCCCTTTCACTTGCAAAATTGATGGTGGACAGAAAGAAACATCTTGCTTTTCCTTTGGTATATCATCTTTTGAAGCTTGTACTTGTTTTGCCTGTTGCCACCGCATCAGTTGAGAGATGCTTTTTAGCATTGTATTGGCAATGAGATCATGAATGAATGCATCATTTGCTTTGTTGACCCAGACTTTCTAGCCACAATCCCAAATTATATTGTCATGCACCTTTCAGAATATGGAAGATCATAAACGTAAAATGCTTCTATGAGAGGTAACAAACAGTGCAAAAATTATTTTTACTTCTTCTTAGTACTAATATTAAATATAGTTTAATTATCATGACATATTGTATTTATCTGTTTTCAGGTTACTCCATGTCTCCATGTTGAAGGATTGAAGCCATGTTCGAGTTTTTGTGTCAACTTTACAGCTTTTGAATCACAGTACTATGATTATCCCTGTTATGCTTAATTAATGATTGGATGCTTGGATTAACAAGCGAGTTATTGGTTCGCCTTCTTAACTTTGTTGATTATCCTTTCTTTATACGCTTTTCATATATATTAGTAGTTTAGTACAAGTCACTTCTTGGTAAGAGCTGGCTTTGCTGTGACACCATCAATCAAAAATCCTAGCTCCGCCCCGACCAAGAAGGTCACCTTGAACAGCCCCAACGGGGCGCTCGCCATGAACACGCTCCCCAGCTTCGCCAGCTGCTCGCGGATCACCTCTAGTGGCCCGTCCCTTGCCATGGCGCGCAAGAACCGTACAAGAGCGGTTCCCTGCACAATCGGCGGCGGCGCCACCGCGGCTGGGCAGGCTTCGCCACGCTTTCTCTTCTGCAGCGCTGTCCATATGACGACGGTGGTCAGCAGGAGAGCTACGGTGGTGAGCCACATGGTGTCACTGATGGTTGCTACTTGTTAGATGATCCATGCTTGCCAATCGACTTGAGTGACGAGAGTTAATTAGCTGTATGGACAAACGAGAGGAGATAAATCAGGTATAGGTTGAGGTAATTTTAGGGGACATTTTTTAATCAGATAAGTAATCGGATTGTAGATTAGATAAGTAATTGCGGAGAAAATTTTACAATAAGAAAAACAAAAAGACTTGCATGATCTAGTCAAAGAGATACTTAATTAGATTGCATACTTGTAGTTAATTAGGGGTGCTTCTCTATTTAGATTGAATAGTACGTATGCACTATTTAGATCGGCGTTGCTAAAATTATGTCGACATATTTCTAGGCCAAATACAGTCAGTTTGTCTGCCATCTGATCTTCTTCACGATTCATGCAAAGTGCATCTGATAATGATCGAACAACTTGCTCCTAAGTTGGCGACTCTTATTTTGCTTTGCATGACACGTGCTGGTCATCAACGAATGTAATTACTCTATTTGCACAGTAATTACACATGTGTAATTTAGGGACTTACATATGTAATTTTGGAACTTACATTGTAAATACACTAAAATTACATATATAATTTAGATACTTACATATGTAATTTTGAAACTTACATTGTAAATACACTAAAATTACATATGTAATTTAGGGACTTACAATATAAATACAACGACTATTTTTTGTTGAAAAATATGGCGCCATAAATATAGCTACTCCTATTTAGATTTTGTCAATTAAAACTGTGTATGTCAATATGCATGTATTTCGCTTCCAAGTTTAGATGTGGATAATGTGTATGATCAACTTCATTTTCACTCTCGACCTGCGTTAATGCTCAGTGAACGTGAATATGACTCCGAATTTCTTTTCAAAAAGTATGACTCTGAATTTTGTGAACGTGTGCAATGCTGATAAGCATAGGAGCTGGATTTTTTCCATAATCCAACAACCCAGGTGGTTTTCACGACATAAGTCATAACCACCTGCCAAAATGGTTTTCATGGGCGGTTTCCTCTACAAATCCGCCTATATAAACATATTTGGCATGCAGAAACTTAAAATATCCGCCTATGTAAATGTATTTTCACAGATGATATTATCGTGCGACTGTACAATTATTTCTACAAGCCTTCAGCTAGAGCCGAGGTGGGTCAAGAAACGCCTGTTAAAATGGTATATTAGCCACCTGAGAAAATGTTGTCTGGCAATGTGGGGTGAAATAACATTTTCTTTAATTTTCAAATGATTATTCAAACATTTGTATATGGGTTTAGTACAAAGGATCAGAGTTTGATGTACACGGATCAAACAAGCATGCTATACATTGGCAAGGAATGTTTTGCAAAAGTTGTTGCGGAGCAGAAAGAGTTAAAAGCAGTTCCGTAACACAATACCAATCCGTGGTTACTTAATTTTAAGGGATTTCATGTGTTGAACCGGTAGTGATACTAACAACCAACAGTGACATAGTAGAGTATCATTCTTGGCAGCACCAGTGATAGCTCAAAATGTGATAGTGATGCTGGAAATGAACCAACTGGAATGCTTACTTCTGTAGTGGTGAGACATCCAACAGATGATGAGTACAACAAGGCCATTGCTTTATCATAATATAGTAATTTCAATTTGATTTCATTATTCCTGGACAGATTCAGAAAATTATGGAATTTTAGAATTAAAATGAACTAGCTAAATGCCCGTGCTTTGCTTCGGATAAAAGTTACCCTGTTTTCGCTATAGGGAATATTCATCTTAATCTAATTTTCATGTGGCTATCCATTTAGATTTGACATTTTTTAGTATTAAGAAGTTCAAGAGTAACTTGTAAAATTTATGAAAGGAGTAGGTGGGGTGGCAGATTCCTGCTACCATCATCACCTTCTTTTTAAGGACTATAGATTATGAAAGATTGAAAAATTAAACTGGGATATAAAAATTACTTGACTTTTCCAATTAACTAGCTAGCACAACTATTTCCTATAAAAAGTTCATTTTATAAGTCTGAATTGGTACCACTACTATACGTTGGGCGATCTAACAAAATTGCAATGACATGTTTTTGAACGAAAATGATTCAAAGTTGTATGCAGATCATCTAGAGGGAAACATATGGGATTCATACTGGTCGTTGCTACAAAATGAGGACGATGAAGAAAAATTCTTAGCTCATGCAATTACCAATTAGCTTGGTTAGCGATGTCGATCACCCTGGTTGTGACAGATCAAAGTAGACAGGGTTTTCTTTTCATTGATATCGTCACGATAAAGGTAATTGTGGATTGGATACGGAGAATCAAGCCTGAATAGTAGACAATGAATTAATTATTTCTGCTTTTGATATCCTCACAGTACTATGAGAAGAAAGAAATACACTTGTACATTGCATTAATTGTATAGTCTGGAACATAACACCCTTATTGCAGTTGCTATCTTTAGTACTGTGTATAAATGATTGAGAGTACACTGTGTAGATGGCTGGCCTTTAATTTGCTTCTACTATTGGCTCTGTTACGGTTCATTTCTATAAAATAAAAATGATAGATTAAGTAGCAATCAAAATGGCAGTTGTACTGTTGTGATGACGATCATGGAAATATTTTCTACACATGAATGGAGATTTTGTATTATGATTTTGTGCTAGTTGCATTGATATCTCATAGATTTGTATTACAATGTTTATTATTTCATTCTATTTTTGCTCATCATTTCACAAATTAAGTTACAATTTTGTAATAATTTGAACAACTCAATAGCTTCTAAAGTGCGATAGCCGTCTTTACTATCCACTCCATGTGTGCCACAGTACTGCATGTAGTTACATGTTCTTCTAGTGCAAGCATCATATACCAGAAAATGATGCAGTTGGTATAATAGAAGGTGACCAACATCAGATTTGTAAAACAATATTTACCAAATTACGCCCAACATCAAAGCACTAGTTCTATACATAAGTAAATTCATTTGAGAAAAAGATGATGGACAATCTCTTATTGTTAAACAAACAACACAGTTTGCTGCTTTTCTATTTCCGTTTTGCAAGGTTATCTTTTGTTGGTAGAGAAAAGTTAATTTTACTCTCCGAACTAATTCAATAGATCACTTAACCCCTGGATTATTTTTTAACTCATTTTACCCCTTAAACTCCTTATTTTTTAACTCATTTTGAGAAAAAGAGAAATAGTGTTTAGGCCGGGAGTGAACTGAATCATTTTCAATAGCTCCGGATGTAAATTTAGCTAAAAAATTGTTTAGGGGTTTAAGTGATCAGGTGGAATTGTTTCGGGGGATGAGGGCGAGCAAAATGGTGTTTTTTTCTTGTTATAATATGACTCTCTTTTTAAGAAATTACATGAAGACCTCCAAGTGGGGTCTTATATTTCCAAATCCTCTTATTAAGGGAATGACATACTCCATAATTCAAAAGAGAATCATATATGGAGTGAACAAAGAAAATAATATTACCTTGAAAGCCCTATATATCTAAAAGAGTGATCATTGTCCATTGATATTTGATAGATACACGTTTGATAGGCTAGCCACCAATTCAACCCATAAATCTGTTTTCATATATGCCCATCATTTGCTAATTGAATTGAATTTAATACATAAATGTAATGAAAACAAATATGTATTGTCAAACCGAATTGCAATTCAAACCTGTTTTTTCAACCTGTTGCAATACCAAAGATGCAACCATCTAACTTAACTCCAAATTTATCAATCACCTTTGAAGCTACGAATACTGAAAAAAAAATCGATCGAATTGGCGTATCAGAGAACATCTCATGTTCTACAGCTTCTGCTCATTGGTTGAGGGTTACGACTAACAGGCGAAGAAGGAAGCAAGCTGGTTCATCAAGCCTACCGTACCATTGCGCCCTAATAACTAACAGTAAGCTATCTTACCAATATACAAGCATTGCTGGCTACGAATTAGATAATTATTTTTGGAGATATATATATATATAATTAGAAATATTTATATTTTAAGACAAAGGGAGTAGCTTCTTTCCTCAGGTCAGTGCTTACAAACTGTATTGTAGGTGCTGATGCTAATCAAGATAGCTAGTTAGGCTGGTGGGGTACCTCTGGTTCAGTTTGGGGCTGCGCCTTTTCAAGCCCCTGGCAAATTACACAAGGGCAGGGTCGGAAGGTCATATCTAGTGATGATAACAAATAGAATGAGATGAATTCAAGCATAAAGGACAGCGCTTTGCGAAGTACTCCCTCCATCCTTAAATATAGGAGATTACGTTATTCTCCATCCTTAAATATAGGAGATTACGTTATTTTAGGAAGAATTAAGAAAGTGGAAGCGGGTCAAATCATAGTAAAAAATGGTGATTGAGAAAATAAATAAGTAAAAAAAAGTAAAGGTTGGAGAAATAAACTATAGTACATAAGTTGTTATATGGATTTAAACTAGTACATGAGTTGATGGATGAAAGATAAAATATTGTCTAGGGATCCAAAATCCCTTATATATATATATATATTTGGATAAAGAATTATGACAATGTCACTTATATATTTGGACAGAGGGAGTATTTAGTAGTAGTTTGGCTGAGAAAGATTTTATATTGAAATACGTGTTCACTCGTCAGTGGAGACATTAATGTAGATGATCACACATAGCTCCTCATGAGATTAAGCTATACACCTTCAAATCTACCACATGCAGATGTGGTTCTCCTGATTAATGCTCTATTTGGCTGCACTTCCTTAATTGTAGATATTCAGCCTAGCACCCTAGCTAGCAATGTCATCCAAGCTCACCCTGTACCTGTATATGTACATGTGTATAAATTAAGTTATCCTTTTTGTGTCATATATCTACTAGTAATATGCCCGTGCTAAACGCTACGGTGTAATTCTATTTGTCTTTAATAATTTTTAAAATTTTCATGTTAGCAAAAAATATTACTATATGAACGGTACTTTAATAATTTTTAAAATTTTCATGTTAGCAAAAAATATTACTATATGAACGGTACGTTTTAGCTTTAATTCAATTTATGTCGTGCATCAAATATATTTAACATAAAGTATAATAATATGATATGCCAATTCATGCACATATATAATGCATATATATGTTCCCCCATGTCATAATGCATATAATAATATGATATTAATAAGCATCTCCTTCTTACATTGAAGCTTAGTAGAAGTTGTACTTCCAGCTCTTGCATCTATGATTATCGAAAAACCAGCAGACAAGGTATATGAATATATGCGATGGGAGTATGTAGAGATCACAAAGAAAGTCCAAAATATATACATGTCACAACACCTGAAGAAATATTAGCTGTCTCGAAATGGGGCGCGTTCTTCAAACGCCGATCCATTTGGATCCATTCCTATCCGATAAAACATCAATCTACCTTAGTCCACAACAAACATATAATGTGATTTACAAACAAATCACATAACATTTCATCTAATCGAAAATTGCTAGTTGGATATCATGTCACATTTATTTCATTTAGGTACTTCAGCAATATTGTATTACCTAACAATAAAAATCATTTGTATAAAACAAATTTAAGAGTACAATATATCTACATAAAAAATAAATTGTGCATCACACTGATTTCGTGTAGGTAGTAATATAAATTTTAGGGCCCCGCAATGTTATATGGTTGGGAGTTAATGAAAAGTGCATATGCAAGGGAGAAATATCTATAAATGGATCAGCACTACAGAGTTGAATGGATCGAAGAACCCACGTCATGTATGTACTGCCTAAATGAGCTATCTCATCTATCGAAATACAGAGTTCATTAAGGCATTTCACATATCTCATCTATCGAAATAGAGAGTTCATTAAGGCATTTCACATGGCTGACTATTTAGCCAGACTCTCATCTCTGTCAATTCTCAGAGTACCCGCTATCTTCACGATTGGTTTGATTCCTTATGAGTAAGCTTCCTGTTCACTGAAAGTACCTGAGCTGTAAATAGCAAATGTGAAATTCACTGAAAGCACCTTAATATTATCAACAATATACATGTTGTTACAAGCATTTCTCTTAGCAATTCAGTGTACCAACTGTAGTTCACATCCTTGTTCATTTTGTTATATCAAACAAATTAAGTAGGTGCGATAAGGATGCTGGTAACAAGTAGAAGATTTATTGATGCAACCAAAATTTAACATTGATACAGTCATGGGTAATGTCAGTAAAATTCAAATGGGGAAGCAATCTACAGGAATTCCCAATGATTCAGTATACTTAATAAATGTTTGAACTTAAACTGTCTTATCAGCAGTTCAGTGTACGCATGTTTTTCTAGCTGTTCAGTCTATAGGGATACCAGCAGTTCAGCATAAGCATGTTTTATTTCCAAATGATTCAACTAAATATTGTGCCTATTTACATTCTGAACTTTAAACTGAGTTATATACAAAATCTAAAATATAAATCATGTGCTGAATCTGAAATAAGTAACACCATCTTATTTTTAGTAAATATCTCCATTATTAGAAGCTTTAATTAGTTGCTATAGGATATGTAGTGGTCATTGATATATTAACAGCTTGTAAATTTGTCTGAATTTATATTGATTGCAAAGCAAGAAATTTGTGAACGAAAAAGGAAGTTAACGCTATTTTATAAATTCAGATAAATGACCAATTTGACATGTTCAGAGTAACAGTTTGCTCTAGTTTGATACACTTCATTGGAAAAAAAAAGATCCAATGATCATGAAGACAATAACCAATTTAAAATCTTACTGCTTGCACATAATTTTACAAGGAAAATAAGAGCAATTCTATATTATCAGGAAATGGATTGAATACCAATGGCATTAATATGACACATAAACTGTTGCAAGCTTCAGTTATGATGTCAGTAATAGAAGGAATGAACCTTCAGGATCAGGGCTTTCAGGATGAGCGAGGAAAAACACCGTTTAGGAAACCTTGTTCATGCACTCCTTAATCTGCACGATCAACAAGTTGCATTTTTTTCTAAGACTTCAGTCCAATTGAGGATAGATCAAGAAGAGGAAGGAGCTCGCATTGTACCAGGGCAGAGAGGACTGCCGACGCTGATCTTGTAGGACTGACTGTGGCGCTCGGAATCATTTGTAATCCTATGCAAATTAATAAGCTGCGTGGATGTAGTTCTTGTAATTTATTTGGAGAATCAGTTTAATTTAATCACAGACATATTGTGAAATTACACGTTTTTTGGATGCCCTATAGCAAATTTTGCTATCTAGAATAGAAACTGAATGACTGAGACGTGAATCCTAACAGCCCACACAACTCCCTTGTTACGAAGTATTCGGCACATGACATCAGCACAAAGAGAAATCTGCTTGTATGTCCAAGGTACTGTAGGTTCAAAGAAAGAAATTCTTCACTGGATGGCTACAATTTAACCCTTTGCATGGTGCAGTAGAAATGTTTATAGACCATTTAGCGAAGATTGATCCATGCAGGAGACATTTGCACTATTTGTAAGGGGTAATCATGATGGAAGGAAATTACCTTTACCAAACAGAAATTTAGTAGAATCAGCCAAAAATCTCCTTGATTGTGCAGTAAACAATAGCAATTGGCATGGTGTCCGGTCAGCTTTGCTTCGACAATCTAAACTTTTTTTTCCTACATATTAAATAATTTGATATCAAAGGTTAAGTCAGTTTGCGAGATATAAGTTTTTTTTTTTAAAAAAAGAAGTGTATCATCACTTCAGAGACAACTGTGATAGTTAATCTACATACAAAATTAAGTTTCAGGGACACAGAACTGAGTATGAATGCTTAGCACTTCGATCAGACTCCACAACACACTATACACACTTATGTTGACAGAATTGCATCTCCTATAGGATATGCAGAAAAAACAGAGGAATGAATGTATACCACCTGCAGATTGGTGTATTCTCACATGATCCTACAGGTAAATCACAGGAGGCCTCTCATCTGCATGACAGAAGAGATAGATTGCTTTTAGTAAGTAAACTGAATAATAATTTTTTTAACACCACAAATTGCAAAATACAAGATTGGTCCAATCACTTGGATGGTCAACAAATGAGAAAACTGCATGCCAGATGGATACCTTGTTGATCTAACCACAATATAGAGCACTCAAGAATTCTAGAACGCTCAAGACGTGCTCGATGAAATGTGTATGTGCTGCCAACCAGAGCTAGCAACTACTACTTAATTCTAGGTCGTCGGCGACGCGGGCGCGGGTGTTCCAGAGGTGGCACGGAGGAGATTGGTGGGGTGGCCCTCGCTGGCGACGCGGATGGGAGAGATCGGCGCGGGCGGAGCAGATTGGTGAGGGAGTACCGACGGTGGCACGGAGGAGATCGGCGAGGCGGCCGTCACTGCCGACGCGGACGGGAGAGATCGGCACGAGCGGAGCAAATCGGTGGAGAGATCGGCTCGGGCGAAGGAGATCGGAGGACGACGACCCTGGCAACTCCGGGCGATGGTGATGTAGCGGCGCGGAGGCGGGCGCCCGGCAAAGATCGGGGGCGGCGCGAGGAGAGGGGTGGGGCTGCGCGATGTGTAGATGGGAGGGCGGCGTGATGTGGAATTTTTTTTATTTATAATTTTTTTTATTAAAAGTTTTAAAAAATAATTTTCTATTTTGAAAATTGACGGAAGTAGTCGCCTACCGCCCTCTGGGAAGGCGATTTTTAAAAATCGCCCTCCCAGAGGGCGGCGAAAATGACGTGGCAGACGGCCGTTCGCTCTCGGGCGACGGCCGTCAACGAAATTTGCAGGCGGCCCCCTTGCCGCCCTCCGCGAGGGCGATTTTGTACTGTGCGGGGGGCCGCCTGCAAATGGGCGGCGAGGGGGGCATGGAATTTTGCAGGCGGCCCCCTTACCGCCCTCGGCGAGGGCGATTTTGTACTGTGCGGGGGGCCGCCTGCAAATGGGCGGCGAGGGGGCATGGAATTTTGCAGGCGGCCCCCTTGCCGCCCTCCGCAAGGGCGATTTTGTACTGTGCTCTATATTTTTGTATAAATATCAATAGTTATCAAATCTTTTTATATTGAAAACTATACAAGATTAAAATCTCCAAGACTGGTAAAATACAATTTTATTATTTTTTAGGGCATATTTGGATTGTTACCGTACAAATATTTTATTAATTTTTAGGGCATATTTGGATTGTTAGTGCCAAATTTTTCTTCACGACCAAATATTTGGTAAGGTAAAATTGCATTTGATCATATTTGGTTTGCTGCCAAAATGTAAAATTGTAGTGAAGAATGTTCTACATAATCTCAAATCTAGATTACGTATTACCAATGAATAGGCTTCCATTTTCGTGTGTTGTGTGCTAGTGGGAAAGAAGATATGAAGAGGTTGCCTTCAGATTGTCAATTATATAGCGTCGTTTTCACTGCAATATATGTGAACTCAATGAGATACATTATTCATTAGATGTGACAAGACGATCACGCGTGGGCGTGATTCACTTTATGTAAACAGGCAGCGCCGAAAGTTGATAGTGATAACTTGAGCTGCCGCTTTTCATGTGTGCTGTTGTGGACTGTGCGCGCTACTGGATCTGACACTACCGTGCAGTGCCGAAAGTGTGTTGTCGTGAGCATAAGTTGTTCTAGCACCATATGAATGAAAAGAACTATGTAGACGAGACAAACACAAGTAGTACTGCAGTAGTAATAGCAAAAGTAGTACTGCTTTACAAGTTTGTAAGCCAAAAGAAACGGTCACATAAGGACTGAAGAGGTAGAACACTACTGACGAGGCCTCTTACCCCTGTCCCTCCTACCCTGCGCCCTAATGTGCCCGTGGGAGTACGTGAGTCGGTCCGGGGGTACGGCACGGCCAACCCGTCCTGCCTGTACAGGTGTGACCTCTGGCTGCTCCTGAGTGTGTGCCTCTGGAGCTCCTCCAAGCTGAGAGGAGCCTAGTACGTCGTGGTGGTCTGCACCGTGCAAGTCGTCGTCGTAGAACTGGCTAGTAGGACCAGTCCTACCGGCGTGAGACGAAGAGGCCCCAGTACCGAAGATCCCGGCTGCAAATCCTGCTGGACAAGGACCATCAGTTTCGTACAGGTATTTAACAGTATTAATAAAAAGTAAAGTACCGTGTGGGCGAGGGATCGACGCTCCGTGAGAGGAAGAGCTGGCGAACGCGCCCGAAGAGGTGGCGAACGCCCCTGCGGAGCTCGTGGAAGCGCCAGTCGTGCCTGCGAACGCGCTCGAAGGCAGACGAGGTCCTGCGATGAGGAAACGTGTAGTTAAAACATGGTGACATAATCATGCAAAAGCTGAAACAAAAATGAACTAATATCTGGGCTGAACTGTACCGTGCGAAACCGGTGCTGTAGGTCGCACTGATCCGAAGCTAGGGGCGCTCGAAGGCAAACGAGGTCCTGCGAGGATGGATCATCAAGTTACGACGGGGTGATGTTTTCGTACAAAAACAGAAACAAAACTTAAGAAACCTCTGGGCTGAGCAGTACCGTGCGAAATAGGTGCCGTAGGTCGAGGTCCTGCTCCGACGGTAGGCGCGCGAGGCCGTGGTTGTACCGGACCAGCTGGAGGTACGACGTCCACGGCGCTGCGACAGGAGAAGACGCGCATGACCGCACGCATCTTCTCCTGCATCCGGTCGAAGGTCACCCTCTGCTCAACGTCAGTCAAGTGCAAACCTCTGTTCAACCTCACTTGGACTGCGGTGATATCGGCACTGATATCCCGTGCGGCATCAGCCTATGCAAGATGGAAATAACAAATTCAGTAGTTGTCCTATATTATGCAAGATAAATGAAATAATTTTAAGAAGTAATACAAATTGGATGTACCGCCACGAAGTAGTCTCGGTCACGGTGCGTGGGATACGCGTCCGTGACAGCGGCAACGTGCGGCTCTGGGGCGTCTGGAGTGAAGGTCACACGCGCACGAGTGCGAGGAAGGTACCAACGAAGGTAGTCACGGTAGTTCTCCTCCGTGTGTGGGAAGAGCTCGTTGATCACCTCCTCTGTAGCTAACACCTAGTCGTCAACGTACTGCTGTACACGTGGAGCCCAAAGTGCGCCTGCTAGCTGTCCCGGTCGAGTCAACCTGTGAAGAGAGGTAAATTATATGGCTCGATGAAGTAATTATCATAAAAATTTAGAAATGAACAATCCGAACTCACGAGTGGTCGGCAGGGAGGACGGTCGGCTGCACGTTGCCCGGAAACACCTGCCTAAGTCCGAACTGTCTCATCACACGCTGCGGGCAGTGAGGCTCAACGAAAATGTCGAACACCATCGGCAGGATGGTGAGCCAGTAAGCCTGGTCGCGTGTGCACAAGGACGAAAGTCCTAGCGGTGCTCTCGCAGCGACGGCCTCTTCTGTGTACGGCTCCCAGATGACGTCGCTCGGCTGGAGACGGTCAAACTCGAACACGAAGTCCGGGTAACCACGTCTCACCTGGACGTGAGCGTAACGACGCTGCAATAAACATGATCGGAATTAGACATGTTATGTGAAGAAAAAAAAAAGACGACTGATAAACTTATAACGCAGCGAAGTTGCACTAACCCCACGTCGACACCAGTAAGTCCCCATCGTGGGACCGTCCTCTGGCCACTGCGCGCTGGGACCAACCCCATAGGGTGCGCTGTCCACCACTGGTCGACCTATGGCAAACCTCTCGGCTGCCCAAAGCTGAAGCAACATAGGGCAGCCAGCGATGATCGCTCCCGCGTCAGTCTTCGTGCACGCCTCACAGAGGGCACGGTACGTGGCTGCTAGCATGGCAGAACCCCAGCTCCACTGCGGCACGTCCTGTGGCTGAGCATCCGCGATGGACCGTGCGTAGTGGACCAGCCGGAAGTCCACAGCGTGCCCGTGGGTGCTAGTGAACATCACCCACCCGAACAACCACAACAGGTACGCCTCAAGGGAGCGTCGGACCGAGTAATCATCAGCGTCAGGGTGTAGAAGGTCCGCCTACAATTAAGAATGAAATGTTAGTACAAAACACTCATTCGGTCGCAAATAAGCACGTATGATAATAACAACTTATTTACTTACAGTGAACTGGAGCAACCAAGCCTTGCTAGGCCCGACTGTAGAGTACGGAGGAAGGGTGGTGGTCGGTCCTAGGTGTGGAAGGCGCATCACCTGCTCGAAGCGCGCAGTGATATCCTCCTTCCACCCAAAAACACCGTCCACGGGACCAACTGCTGCTCCCGCCAGCGGTAGCCCGAGCAGGTACGACACGTCCTGCAGTGTCGGAGCCATCTCCCCACAGGGAAGGTGGAACGTGTGCGTCTCAGGTCTCCAGCGGTCTACAAGAGCGGCAAGGAGTGACCGATCTGCATCCCACCGCTTCGCTGGGTCACGGTCGTCCGCCGCCGCCTCAACAAGCCTACAAAGTGGTAGAAGGCCTGCCGCACGCAACCTGTATAGAGCAAACTTCAAACATAAGTACAACACAAAGCAAAGTTGAGTTGAAATGTGAACATACGCGTACCAAGGAACGTGACGGGGGTCGACACGCAACCACTCGCGCGACGTGCGTGGACGGAAGGTGCCGAGCTGTGCACCCTCGACTGCTGACAGGAACGAGCGGTGGTTCCTGTCAATCCCACGGTTCAACAGCGCCGGTGTGTCGTACGCCATACCTGCATCAAATAGGTTGATCAGAAACATATAAATAATTAGTTCAACATAAGTAATAAATGTTGAACTAAGCGAATTACTAACACATATTAAACAAGAGTACAAACAAACAAAAGTGTTTACTCCGAACACTCATCACGATAACATTATGATACAACACCGAATAATTCGCAATACTACTAGTACAACAATAGTCGGAGGTACTCATTACAACAACATTGAATTGAAATTACACGATAGAAGTATTTAGTCCGAACACTCATTACATCACAACAGCATTTTATTTCCTAAATCGAAAGCATTGTTACACCATGGAATCGCCTGCTGCGCGACGACGCCTTGGCCTTGCGCGCCTGCTTGTTGTTCCTTCACCAGGTGGTCGCCTACCATCACTTGCCTGTCCAAATGGACTAGCATCTGCGCCGCTTGGAACTTCTGCATTCTTCGGGCATTTCTTGTAAGTATGGCCGCGCAGATCACACTTGCTGCAGCGTAAAGTCCTCCCACCTGCTTCTGACTCATCCATATCATTTCTGATGCGTCTAGTTTGGCGTCGACCCTTTTTCACCCTTAACTTAGATGGATCTGGAATATAAAAAACTTGGGCACTCAGCGTTGTGTAAGATCCTGAGATCCCGAACCCATATATCTCCTCACTCCATATATGAAAGATTGCTTCTTTCCTGAAATAATTTGAGACGTACACATTGGGAGATATGCCACAATCACCGGCAGCAGCAAGAACGTGTGAGCAAGGAAGGTGATGAAGCTTCGGCTTCATACAACTGCAGGTACATCCACCATCCGCCTTCAAGACACATTCCTGCACGGCTTGCTTGCGATAGATACCACGCCTGCTCCTATCAACACACATTATTTCATACCGATGCACTTGTGTGCCTTGAGCAACAACTCGATGTCTCCGTGCCTTTTTGATTTT